TACTCCTAATGTCTGCTTTCCAAGCAGACAGCCTACCTAACCCTTTTTCCCACGCAAAAAATTGATCGTGAATCAATAAGGTAATTAATAAAGAATGGGACAGATAAGCAGAATAGATTGATGGCATTGATAGCAATAAAATCTTATCAATTCCCACCCATAAAATCAACCAGACTCCATGGAAACTCACTACCTATTAATCAGTCTTCTGCCTGTACTGATACACACACACATGCCGTACGTACACTCAGGCACTCAGGGAGACATGCCTGCCTACACACCGCACATTGGAAAAAGGCACCTCCCACAGAGAGCCCACATAACTGCAGACCCACACAGTTGATCAATAGTCTCATGTGAATGTTTAACTTTGAGCCCCCGTAGATCAATACAGATTTCTTAACAGCAACAAAATATATATTTCTGCCAAATAATGATGTGTTGCTACAGTAGAAAGCAGTGTCTATGGTATCGGGTCACAGGAGACAAATAGAAAAGAAAAGGACAGGGCGCTAGCTTCAAATAGCTTGTTTTTATACGCTGCTCCCCCCTGAAGAGACTGAGTGAGAAAAAATGTAATCTAGTGTCGATGCAGAATAAAAGCAGGACTTAGGTTTGTACTACTTCTAAAATAGAAATGAGGCGAGAGAAATTCCAGCAATGGCAACAACTGTATGCAATACTAATACAGCTAGAACGGAAGAAACATAGAGAGGAGAAAAGCATTAGCAAAGCAATGGAGTAAAAAAAACAACAAAGAGAGACCATGACAGAAGATGACAGGCGGACGTTCAAAGCCCTGGGAAAAAAAAGGAAGAACAATCAGACAGGCTGTGAAGGACAGAGGAAGGGTGAATTGAATTAATAAAAGCAGAAATAAGGGAGAAAAAAGGTCCTCTAGACACAAGGCGATGAGGGCGAGGCAGAGTGAGAAACAGCAAAATAGAGAAGTGTGTGTATGTGAGAGCATGCAATTGAGAGAGAGAGAGAGCGAGAGACAGGGACAGGCCACATGGGAGCAGAGGAAGGTTTGTGCAGCATGTCAATATAAATGCTAAGTCACTCAAGGGCTTTCATCCAACTGAAATCTCAGCCTTGCTTCACAGTCAGGCATCCATTAGAGCAATTTAGAGAAAAGGGATGGATTAAGAAGGGGTGAGAAGTAAAGGATATCAAATATCTACATTTGGCTGAGCTTCTGATTAAGTCACATTTTAGCCTCTTATCAGCTATTCTCTGTCATCAAACAATACTGTGTACCTTTGACATTCTCCTCACCATTCAGCCTGCTATTCCTCATTTCCATTTCAAACAATGTCACATCTCCCTCTGTCACTACCACTTTTTTTTCTCTGTCTTTTCACTCTGTCTGTCCATCTATTACCCCGGCAGAACCAGCCGTGTGGCTGCTGCAGCATCAATAATAATTTGCTGCCTTGGCCCTAGGTTCCCTAAAGGCATACTGGGAACCCTGGGTATTTACAAGGGTGTAATCTCCTACCTGGTTTGCACTCCACACATCCACTCCCATCCCTGTGACCGGGTGACCCAGGGGATGGGCTGCTGGATGGACAGTTCTGAGACTGCAACATGACAGCGGAGCAAAGTTAAGTGACAGGGCAGAAAGAGGGAGGAGAATTAGGGCGCGGGGGGATGAGGAGGAAGCCCCCTGCCTGGAGACACACCATAGCAGTGACACAGATTTGTAAACTAATAGATACACTATTTCTGTGAACAATGTCGTAATCTATCCTGATACTACTATAGGTCATGGATTTCTTAGATATATATTAAGTTACTTGCAGTTACAGCCAAGGTGCACCTGTTACGTCTATTCCATTATTTTCATTTAATTTGTGTATTGAGAATTGCAAGTCTAATTGTATTTTGAAATATGCCTAAGTATGCTTATTACTCAGTGTGTGCAGTGTCAAATAACAACTTGTGCCGTCATTTGTGAGCGCTTTGTTCAAAAGAACAGATCTTTTCTTGAATGAACTGAATCACTTCCTAAAACAATCCATTCATTTCTCAGTCAGCTCAGTTGTTGAGCTCTCAGTCAGTTGCGACGAGCTAACGCGCAGGGATACACTCTCTCACTGAGTGAGAGCTTCAAGCCATTCGTTCATAGGAGGACTGGGGTGTGTTCAAGGGAGAAAACAATCAGATGATTCCGAATTGCGAACATTACTGATGCCACAATATTGGTCTTGGACAACAATCCAGATATATATGACATTATCTAGATGGATATTAAACACATACGTATGCAAACAGTAAACATTACTGCGCCCTCTCACCACCAGTACTTTTCAATGCTGCAATATGTAAAAAAAGGTTGGCTGAGCCTGAGACTGTCTCAGATCCTCTCACTGCAAGAGAGCAAGTTCAGTGATTCGCTCACTGTGAGCCCTGAGTGATAAGTATTTGCTGAGTAGGTCAAGACCGGCCCTCTCCCTTTCACTCCCTCTCATGTCTTGAAGTCTCAAAGTAGGAAGATGGAAGGTGTCGCGAAAATATATGCGCTGTATATAATAGGGTAAGACTTTGTTATGGCAGTTTTCAGTCTGCAAATTGTATCCAGCTGTAACAGTTTGTGGGCACGCAGACCTCCAAGATACTACTTCATATTTATACAGAGACCGGACAACAAAAGGAGACTGATTGGAGCAAAGTAGGCAAGAAAGTTGGACTACATGTTAAGTTCTGAAAATATGTGTCAGTTACTTGTTTACAGCCAGGGTCTGAAATTAGCACCCGCCACCCACCAAATGCAGGTAAATTGTTGGCAGTGGTGGGTGAAATCTTAGGGCCATCCGCTCCTTGGCAGACAGGGAAAATGCACAACAGAAAGACATGTAATAAGGTTAGTGTTGGTGGTGTCGCCTGCGTCACACACAGCAAACACGGCCACCAGTCAGTCAGCTGAGAGAATATATATGGCGGCATTTCAAACCATACTCACCAATCCGGGAGAGGCCCAGTCCATGGCAGCCAGTGCGTCGTGGCAGCCAGTGCGCTGCTTGCCAGCAGCAGCGGCCGGTCTACGGGAGGTAACTCCGGTGTTGTGGAGAATTACTAAGCTTGCCTATTAGACACAAGAGGCCTCACTTGGTTTTATTTTCGTTAGCCAGCTTTTGTATTGAAACTGAGTTGTTTTGCTGGGATCCAGAAGAGGATTTTTTTTGTTGAGATACAGACTCTTGTGGAGATTTGAACTGAGATAAGGACCCTAAGGACAACCAGTTGAACTGCGGGCTCTCTATTGAGCACTAGCTGTATAATATACTGATGATACTATCTGATATTATTTCATGCCATGACTTGACTCTCAAATTATCTTTCTGTGAAATTCTGATAATGGGATACTTCTCCTCCATTGCTCATCAAGCAACCTTTTACTCTGTCTCTTTCTAATCTGCTTCCTTGTTATCATGACTGACATATGGGCTACAGTTATGATAATATATTGACTGTGTATCTTCAATTGAAATAGGTTGTTAAGTAAAGTGGAGTGATTGTCTTGTACTGAAAGACATCTGATTCCAGCTATCAGTTGTACTTTACTATAAAATAAGTTAGCATAGAAAGCCCCGATCGATCCAAACACCATTAAGAAAACAAGCATTTTAAAAGTTGTTTGCTTGTCATCATGCGGACAGACTTGAAAAAGTAATCATTCTTACTTTTAACAAATCAGCATCACAATATAGTTATTTCAGCATCCTATTGATCCATTTATTGTAGGGCTGTGGTGGTTCTGAAAATGAGACGGTTTGAGGGACAGAATTGTAACACACCCGCTTACTTGACTGTTGAGCTGTAATTAAGAAAGTGTGACTACTTTGGCAGCTCTGGCAGTGTGGGGGCGGGGGAATGGTGTAACGTATAATGTATTTCTATTTAAGTATTTCTAGTAGGTTATTTCATTATTATTTTAATTCTACTTCATTCTCCAGCTTATTTTAGTATTTACTCACTATTTGAATCGGCTCCCTTTCTTTTTTCCCCCACACTTACACACACCTTCACCTCCGGTCTCTCACTGCAAACACAGTGGCTTGCCCCGCTTTTCTGTCTCTCTCTCCCTGTATGTGTCTCTGCTCTGCTGACTTTCTCCATCAGCAGTAGGCCGCGATTCCGTTTTCACAGCAGCAGGTGCGCCGCATGTGGATCGAAACCAATGTGGTACTGAGTGACATCTGCAGTGTGTGTGTGTTCACTGTCGCACCAAGCTTGTAAAATGTCCACCGTGATGTCATACCTAATAAGATCTCTTTGTGTTTCTCTGCAAAATGTTAACATGGGTCAAAAATATTTTGACAGCTGTTAATATACCTGGGCGGCCCACCCAAGTAAAGTATATGTGTGAAACACTGCATTTAAAGCAAGGACAAACTGTAGGCCTGTGTTTCTGTAAATCTTACACCTTCAAAATATTTTATTGTCTTCCAACTGCCATGTGACAAATTTGATCAAGTCATGACTGAGTGATCACGCCTGCAAGTTAGACTAGTTTAATTAACCCAAGATGGATCATAATAATAATAATAATAATAATAATAATAATAATAATAATAATAATAATAATTAGGGCTGTGCGATATGACAAAAAAATCATATATATATAGGTCATTTCATATCCCATTAACGATATGAATCCAGATATGGAACTTAACCGTGCAAATAGTAATATTTGTAATAATCCAGCGGCAAAATCAGGTGAGTAAAGTGACATATTTTTAGGGATCTGTTTCTTGAAAATACTTTTCCTACACTGTCAAAAAAGCAGGGTACAAGATAAAGAAAGCACTCAGTTAATGTTATAAATTATGTTTCATTGTTTTTGTTTATTATTATGTGCAATAATGAACGGTGGCAAAGGCCAGGTAATATATCTACTGTAAATACATAAATATGTATTTATCTATGTGCAGTTTACTTGTGTGTCTCCAGACAAGAGGAAGGGAGGAAGGGAGCAGGTGAGGGGTAAAGGATACATCCGTACGCCGCCTGATCTGGAGCCGATGGCCAGGATCTTCTGCACAGGGTCAAAGGCCAAAGCAGTGGGCTGGTAAGGGAAACCATGACGCACCGTCTGCAAAAAAACCACAAAGCAATATTTCAGTTTAACATGAAAAACATTGTAGGATCACAGGGTAATGAAATGATTTTATCATTTAATTATTTTGCCTGCCCTCAAGACATTCTACAGTGTGGTGAATCCAGTTAAAGTTTTGTCATTTTAAAAAGCTGAATATCTATTTTGTAAAACTGTGACCTTTAATTCCAAAAAAAAAAAAGATTCCTAAAGCCTTTGAAATGTTATTGTTTTCTGACTAAATGCTTAAAGATAAAATGGTTAAAGATAACGAATGACGTCTTTTTATTGTCAGCTGCCACTTTGTTGTTTATTAAGTGAGTGACCAAAAAAAATAAGAATATTTTAAGGACTTTCTGTGGTGACAGTTTGAGATCTTGGTAATGCTTATTGTTTGAATAGCTCTTATGTGTTTACTACAACAAAAAATAATAATTGTGGACAAATACATCCATAGATATCATTCTAAACACACATTCCTACTAGTCCTTGTTTTTGTATATCAAGATGCATCAGAATTTCAATTAACCGAAAGCTTTCTGAACCCTTTACAAGGTCAATATTCTTCTATTGATAAAACACGGAGGCTTCACACTGGGTAATTAGCAAAGAAACGTTACTGTTGCGTCTGAATTTAATTGAGAGTGAACTAGCATCAAAATTCACATGCCAAGGCTGGACGACATTGTCTGTCACACGCCCACTTTGAGATGCACCACAGCTGTCTTCCATTAGTCATGTTAAATTTCCCAGCAATGCTTCCCTTACAGTAATCTGCTCTGGAGGGATGTGAAGATGCAGATGCCACAGATAAGAATACAAACATTGTCCATATCAGATCATAGTTTCGTTTTCTAAAAAATTGATGACCACCCCTAAGAGCAATGCTGTCTGTCACAGAGCAAAGCATTGTAACAAAAATAATACAAAGTTCTCCTATCAACTTGTCTTTTTTTCCATCCTACAGTCAGGATTTTTGAAAACAGTCCCACCATATCGATGATCCTGAAATCTCAATTTGAGTGTCTAAGGAATAGTGAATGGGTGAATGAGGGAGTGATTTCAGACACAGCCAAAGAGTCTAGTGATCTCATGTAATCCGCAGCAAAGCACCGCTCACCTTCAATCTGAACAAAGGTCTAATCAGCCACAACTGACAACACCTGTGAAGGTATGCAGGTCCTTTCAAGAAAATAATACATGAAACTTTCTACTGCAAGTGATCATACATCATGCACCCTTGTAGTCACTAAACCTGGTCAACATCACTGGCTAAGAAAGCCTCGGTACACTATAAAGACAAATGCTCGTTAGTTCTATTTGAAAATATTTCATCTGTAAAATTTTTAAAAGAACTCTGCCAGTGATAAACATCCTGTTCTGAACCACACAATGAACTCCTCAGTGGCTTGTTTGTTCATAATCATACCCATTGTTGCCAGACTGCCCCCCCTCCACCACCAACACCTCATCACCAGCACAAACACCTTTTCTTTTGGCTGCCTGAATTGTTATAACAGGGGTTTTGTGCTCTCATTAATACTGCAGAGGCATGCATTTGGAAAGACAGTATGAGAGTATGAGGATGAATTAAATGGTTACAAAACACAGAATGAAATCACAACAACAAAGACACACTGAATCCCAATCCAACCACAGGAGTCTGTGTATATTTACCATTCATATTCAGTAAACAAGAGCTTCTGAGTGTGACTCTACATGGTACATACATTTTTATTATTATTTACACATATTGCATATTTATGAGTTCATTATATTGGTGCATGACATGTTAAATTCATGTTATATTTAGGGTAAAGAGGTGTGTGTGTGTGTGTGTGTGTGGTGTACACTGCTGTGGCATACCAATTAAGAGTATCTGACCTTGAGATGCAAATATATCTGTCACTCGACTTAGACATACACAGTGGGGTTCCACTAACACATTTAGGCAAATGAGTGCCTTGCATACAAATGGAGCAGCAAACACTAATATAGATAACCTTCATGTAAGAGATAAAAACAGTAAATCTAGTATCATACAGTCCATGGAATCTGATTTTTTGATTGAGCACATATATAATTAATCAGTCAGTTAAAATGGATTTGCCTTTTTATGATATTTGCAAGGTTTCCTTTTCCCTGTGATTTATATTTTAAAAGTGCATTAGATACCTAATTCCTCAATTTAAGAACAGGATCACACAGCAATTGCTGGCAGTTTCCTGTCCGTTTTTAGTTTCAATAATGTCACGTGTTTTACTCCAGATTCAACAGCAAACACTAACTAGAAATCTTGGAAATTAATGTTTAATTGTCCATTATATAGCTTTATGAGTGTTGTATTGCTTGTCTTTCTGTTTTTTTACCAGGGATCTTCACACTGCAGTTTGAAGCGATATGGAAGGCACCCAATCGACTGGCCCAAAAAAACACGTTGCACACAAGGGCTCTTTCAGGAAAAATGTGCTTATATTTAATAATGCTTGAACGTTAAAAACTATTCAGAAAAAACACATTCCCTTATGTGGCCATTTACATGCTATTTTAAAATCAAATACCTTTGAGATTGTAATTCTCTTCCATGCTTTATTGTGTTGCATGAAACAAGATATTGGGGTGGGACTTGATGCCAGAAGAGACAACATTTTAAAGGGTTATGAAGTAGGCAGGACAAACTTCTCACGCCTTCACAGGGCTTTACAGTGCAAGTATTTAACTGCAAATGTCCATAAAAAAAAAGATATGTGTGAACTGGAAAAATCATTTACAGCGTGCAAGTTAAGACTGCAACCTACCATAATCTTCCACCCCATTGCTCTCTGCTGCTAATCATTCAAAATATTGGGCCGGCCTCTGAGGGCTGCTTCAGCAACACATTAGGCAAAACAAGAGCGGGAGACATGCGTTGTCGGCACACTTGGATTATGCACCAACCCACATCCTCCTCCTCCAGATCCAGTTCAACTGTTGGTCAGGTTTTTGCAGTTGAGGCAGTAAGACAGAAGATAAGAGGGATAAGATAAGCAAGGTTTGGGCATAATGACATAATGGCAGGCCATTTAGACTGATAGGTTGCCTTTTTTTGAAACCATAGACCAGCGATCGGCAAATAAGCAGTCTGGGTTTTTTTTGTCAAGCCTTTACATGGCAGGCCAGAACAAAGTCAAATTTTTTCAAATCTTTGTATATTTGTGAGTATGTTTAGCTCAGTCGGTACTGTGTGTGACTCCCGGTAGGAAGGTTGTAAGATTGATTCCAACTATCTGCGGCTATTTTTTCTCCCTTGTTAAACAAATTGATTATAATGACCCTTTTGCACATGCTCACAATAAAGTAAGTGCTGCAGTGTGTGCGCGTCCTAGCGTTTGATCCGCATTCATAAACATACGGATGCTTATTTTCATTTCCCTGAGGCAATTCAGGGGAATCCAATCACACTTTACTTTACTGACGAGTGTGTCAAGCAGACCAGAGTCTCTTTTGAATGTCCAGAACTCTTGAAAGTAAAAGCTCTCAATAAACTTGTCACTGCTGCACAAAAGGTTGTCGCGCTTTTATTTTGGAGGCACAATCACTTAAGAAGAAGTAATTGTGTGAGAAACTGTATCTGTCATGACCGAGATGTATTTCAGCAACAGCCGCTATCAATTTATTTATATTTTATTTTTCTGCTATCAAAGCAATCTGGCCGCGGGCCACCTATTTCCGACCACTGCCATAGACTGTATAGACGGGTTTCTTGTATACAAACACTACTGGATGCAGCCAAGGGGCAAAAGCGCTTTGGTAGCAGGTGTCGTGCCGAAAAGTGATCGTCCACCGAAAATGTGTAATATCTTTGTTTATATTTGGAAAACGGACTGTAGCCAATTTTGCAATTATCCTTATGACTCTGCCTTATTTTACTTGCTGTGTAGGCCTACCAACCAATCCACTCTTTTTTTACCTGTTAAAATACCTTTAAATGGCCAATACAACTCGTAAAATGCATGTATTTCACTTGCCAGAAAAAGATTGAAGCCTTTTGTTATTGACTTTTGTTTTTTCTGCCCTGAAATTAGTTGATTTCATTCAGAAGAGATATATTTGACAGATTATAGCTCACCTAGTACTTTTTACCTCTTAAAATACCTTTAAATGGCCAATACAACCCTAAAAAATGCAGTAGGCTATTTTACTTGCCAGAAAGTGATTGAAGAGACCGGGCAATACAGCTCCAGCAGACAGCAATCACTTTTCGGCAGACGATCACTTTTCGGCACGACACCTGTCAGAAGACTGCAGTCATCCACTGTAGGTTACGCACTGTTTGTAAATTCTTGTTGACTTAATAATAAAATGCCATTTTCAGAGTTGGATCTGTTTGTTTGTGTTTCATTTTGAATATTAATATAACATGCGTGACTGCGCTGCAGTTTAGTGAAGCCAGACGTAATGTTGTTCAAGTCAGCTGCTAGCCAAAAGCCTAATGGAAGAACAAGGGAGAGAGGCATTCTTTCCAGAGCTTTACTGTGGTACAGTGAGTCCTACCATTTGGCCTAGCTGTGTGACACTCAAAGAAGAAAAGAACATTGTCTTCCGCGAACAATTTTGTATAGAAGCATCTGCTGAAGCAGCACAGCAATGTGAAACTTAGCCTGTAGAAAGAAACTGCTACTGCCAGTGAAGCATCCACTAGGCAGGAGAGAGTGGCGTTAATCAACGTTTTGTGTTTTGTAAAAGCACTGAACACTTCTCTTATAAATGCATGTGCAAAACAGTAACGTTAGTTCTGAAGTGGAGACACCTGCTTGACTTTTTTTTATCTCAGACAGTGGCGTTAAAAAATGTAATGCTTCATAAAAATCATGCTCATTGATGCTGTTATGAATACGTGATTAGCTAAAATGTCAGGAGGGACCTGCTTTGTCTTTAATTATTTTTAAATAGCCTTTATCCATAGCCTATATGATACAGCATCCCCTGGTCTGATAGGCTGCAGTGTTTTCAGTTCG